TTACTACATGTTTTTCAGTTTAACTTAATATTACACCTGTTTATTATCTGCAAAGATTATATACATTTCTTACTATTTTTTGTGATTTTTTCCTTAGTATCAGTATTTCATCAAACCGTGAAGTAGGTAAGCAATTAAGTATCAGAAAAAACAGCCTTTGCTTTTTTTTCAATTCTGGCAACCTATATCAGAATGTTAATTTATTTCCTGTACTGTCATTTGTTCTTAATAGGAGTTATGAAACATGTAGTTCTTTTACTATGGATTCTTCCTCCTGAACCCATTTATCACATTGTCAGCCTATCTCCTTTACTGAAAGTTGAAAAGATTAAAACTTACTGTGTGTCATATTGATGCATACCTAATACAGAAAATCCTTGATTACATAAAAGCTTCTGTTTTCTATTAAAGCTTCTTTTTGTGTGGAGATGGGGTACTGCATAGCTTTAGGGCTTTGTAGAAATATAAACAGGGATTATTAAAATATTTTCACTCTCAATATGTAACATGCTTATATAATGTAACTACACATGCAGTGCCCTTCAGGTTTATTAATACACCTGATGCAATAGGAACTATAACATAACACAAAATTTATGGATTGGATAATGTATCTAGATGAAACAATAAAACAAAAATGTCATACTGCATCGCATTGCATATAGCATTGTACAGAGCAAAGTCATATTTGTCATAATTCATTTGAATCCAGAAAACATAATGTGTAAAACACATTTATTCACACCTAAGTAGTTAGTATTTTATAAATCCTCCTCTGGCAAGACACGTCCTGTACTCTACTGTGAATTTCTGGCACTTCATTTGTCAACTGCCTTCTTGCGTTTAGACCACAAATGTTGGATTGGATGTAGGTCTGAAGATTGAGATGGCATATCAAGAACATTTAGTTTGTGTGGGGCTATCCATTTCGTTGATTTGTACGTATGTGTTGGATCATTGTCATCCTGGAAGGTCTGTTTTAAGGTCTATTTTCAGCGAAGCTTGAAGCATCTTAACAGACAGAATCAGGTATTTGGACTAAATGCCCTGGTACACGTTGGTTCATACTTCCTCTGATCTTAACAAAGACTGCATAACACAGATGCAAAACAAGCCCAAAACATAATAGAACCTCGAACTTTGTTTAACTTCACAAAAGTAGGAATGTTTTCTCAATATGAGCATCAGTCTTTTTATGCCAAACATAACACTGATGAGCATTCCAAAAAGTTTAACTTTTGATCTTGATATATTGTTTCAACTGTCATTCCGACACATTTGAGCTGTGTTAGCTGTTTACTCTCAGGTGATGGTAGATAGTATTTTTGACACTTCATATCCTGAAGATTTTGTGTTGGAGATCTACAGCTCTGCCTTTGGAATTATGGTCCCATGCCAGTTTCCTCACAGCCCGTGGTGGCAAGTTACACTTGTGTCCTCTTTTTGGCTTGATTGACACTGTAGCCTTATTTTTTTTTAACAATGGCCACTACAGAGGAAAGTGGTAGATTTCAGCATTGTGTGGATGATTTTGTAGTCATTGCTCACCTTGTGAAGGTCAGTGACCATTTGCCTGCAGTCTTCAGAGAGCCCCTTGACCTTAACGATGATGATATACACTCTTATGTCTTTCATGTGTGAAACAGGAAATATAAAGCAAAAACAAGCAAAACTTCAAAAGCTTCTGTATAGTTCTGGGGTCTTCCATTGTGCTTCCAAGGAGCCGAATATTATTATAAATTTGTGTTTCTTGCAGTTTATTCGAATAAATGTGATCTTTGTAGTTTTTGGAATTTAATTATTTGTGACAGACAGCTTTACCTCCCCACATTGCTATTAGAATTACAGTATAACATTTTAGAAATGTCTTAAGATAGAAATATTTGTAATTTTTCTCGTATGATGTTTTTTTGTTCTATTTCATCAAAGGTATGAATAAGATACGTTGGCAGTAAAAGATCTTTGAAACTACTTTCTAGAAAGTTAAGTAGACTACTCCCCTGTGGTCTTTTTTCATAAAGAGTTATTATTTGTATTATGTACAAATTGAATGACTGCTTCTATCCATCGTGGAAACTGAATGTCTTTCATTTAACGATATATCTACCCACAAACAAATATTCTAATTTGTATGTAAGGTTCCTGCACTTTTGACACTAGGTTTTTCAGGATTCATTCACAAAATTATTATCCTGATACATCTGTAACTGCAAATGTGATGGTGTTTAACATGAGTCCTTTCAAGCTTTTTTAAAGCTTAACAGAGAGATGCATCAAAAAGTAGGGGTGTTAACACTACTGTCCTGGTTGATTTCTGCTCTGGGCTTGTACAGCGGGGCATACTCAAAAGTCCCCCCTTAAATCAATTGGTAGAGCAGTGTCTCACTTCTCTGCTTGATCTGCTGGGTAGTGAGGCTAGTGTTATGTAATGGCTGCAGTAACTAACCTTAGAGTGTGCTGCATTTTGTTTGTGCATTATATATAATTGTAAAGAACTATGAGAACTTTTGAGATCAAAATGCTATAGACATGCAAAGATTTAATGCTAAGAATTAACGTAAAATTACCTGGTTTTGCAAGGCAGGACAGAGCTCACAGAAGCTATTATCTGTATGTTTATGATTAAAATACGAAAGACCATTGAAATGAAAACTCACAAAAATTGTCAAATTAAGTTTCCTACAGTACCACTTTGGCTGTGGTACAATAATCACCTTGGTCACAGCAATGAATGGCGCACAACACCATGTTAATATACCAGATGTGTTTATCACTGTTCCATAATGTGCTTATGTTTTCTTGTAGTTGTTCTGTTTCTGTGCCAAGCTTTTTGATATGTCAGTACTTTGTATTGCTTATTCATTTGATATTTTGAGTTGGATATGATTTGTGAAAGTTCCAAAAATGTATTTAGAGCAGGTAGTTTATTGGATTGATATGCTGGAGTTATTGTAATTCCTTAAGGTTTATTTTAAAATCTTAAATTTAAAATTTAGGAAATCATAAAGGGTCGTTTTGTACCTGGCATACCAGTTGCTTTGTGTTTGTAGCTGAAGATTTTTGGTTGTTTTAAAATATAGCATTTTTGCTTTGTTCTATCAATCGATTTTATCCTTATGTAGTGCCTTTCAAATAGATTCTCAAGGTGCTTTAATATAACTCATACTGTACATAGAAAAGAAGAATTTGGTAGAAGCAAAACAGGAATAATACAAAAATGTATCTATTTTTTTAATTAAAATAATTAAGCATTAGTGTAATGTTCTAGCAGTAATGTTCTAGCATTTATGATAAAACAGGAATAAAAATCATTCAGCTTGACATTTGAGATGTGCATGACCATTGAAATAGAACATAAAATTGTTAAACATACTCGCATACATGTATAGAGTATACAGTATATCCTAACATTATTACTGTTACAATTGAAAATGCTTTCAGCAAAATCGTTTTTTGTGCTGTCACTGTTCATAACATAAGAACGTTTTCAATTGAGAAGACCATGTAGTCTATCTAGCTTGTGTTTACATTAACTTTAGTAAACCTAGCTAATTTAGTTTTTACTACATCCGGTATTAATGCAGTATTAATGCTGTGAAAGGGGCAGACAATGGCCTTTAGGTCTACAACATGTTTTGTCATTTTCTTTACTTTTGGCACATTTGGCACTGTGAAGCCTCTGCATTTCATAAGCCACACACAGAGTCTTTCCATCTTGCAATGTGTCAGACTTTCACTTTGTGACTCGTCACGACTGTTTGTGCTCTGCTTAATTAGTTTTCTCTTAGGCACAGATGACATTTTCACAGCAAGTGTGCATGGTTTTTATTTCTAAATTAAATCACTTCACTTTTATTCTTTACCGAGTATTAATATTAAAGTATTGCACTATTGATGGACAAAATATTTGGATCTAATGTTTTTCTTTATGATATTAAGAAATACAGTATAATAAGTAAACTCCTTAGCAGGGTTGACTAAAGTGAAATCTGGCAAATCATCTGCTACATAACTACAATACAACTTAAGTGAACTATAGCAGGTACATCATTTTACAATAGTGTGAGCTTTACATGTATTTAACATAGCGTCTTCATAACGTAATGTAAAAACATTTGAATTTGTTAAAGCCCTCTTCAGGATTGTTTAAAGACAGTTTAAATTGTCTGTGTTTCATAGATTACCAGGTTTCAATTCCTACTGCTATCGGTCTTGTTGTTCTACACTATAATAATCCTTATCTCAAACAAGACCTTTCACAATTTTGATTGGATATGTTCAAGGTTAATGTACTGTATGGTGATGTTTTAACTGATGAGATATACAAAGTATTCTACTGTTTCCTAAACTTTTATGATTCTATTTGCACCCTTAGAAGATGGATTATTGATGTCTCAATTCCAGATTACATTAAACACTAGGCAGACTCACAAATGCGGTGCTGTGAAGTGTTTTTGATCAGACATGTCTGTGTTCTAAAAGGTTTTTCATTTTAATATGTTTCCTTTTGGGAAAGTTGGTCAAATAAGCTGCCAGACCTGCCTACCTGTATAAAGGACTTTTCTACCCTATTCTAGGCCTTTGGGATAGTAACTGCTGTCAGATTAAGAGCAGGGTCTGTTTTCTGACAATAAACCTTTGTATAAGTGTTGCTCATAAATGTGGACTGAACCTGCTAGTTTTAGATTGTAAATGTTCTATTTCTAATATAATTGGCACATATTTGAATGTTAAAGAAAATGACAAAAGTCTAGGCAAAAGTCTAAATCTAGATCTATTCTAAAAATATTCTTCCATTAATCATTGTAAGAACAATGTTATTTACAGCAATCGGTAAAACTCTCAGTGTATTATTGTTTTAAATGTTGAAAATCAAACATACATAGCTTCACACCTTTCTGTATCTTGTTGTGTAAGTGTAGGACTCTGAATATGTGGGCATATTTTTCTCCTGGCTGTCAACCATCTGGTCTACCCTGCTGTGTTTTTCTATTTTGTAGATCACTGAATACCTGAATGCACAGGAGTCTGCCAAGTCTGCCAGGGTAAGTTTTCTAGGAATCCATTTTATGTGTTTTTCAGTGGTATAAGCACAAGACATGTCCAGGACTAAATGAGAGCTGACTTTAATAACTATAAACTCTACAGAAACAATTCAATCCCGGAAAAGGGGGGTTATTGTGACTTCTAAAGGGTGCAATAATTTTGAATGTTGCTAATTTTAGTTCAGTAAACATTTAGACTGAAGAAGAAGGATTTGCATTTCTTCTTTACTTCTAACAATGCCAAAGCCAAAGATAGATTATTTCCATTGTAAGAACAGTCGTACGATTAAAGGGGTAAAAGCTTTCAAAATAAAGTTTCCTACTAGTTTAACAAACTCACATTTGGCTTGAATATCGGTAATTAAGCAAATGGCAGTAAAACTGAACTCTCTACCCTTTTTTAAAAAAAGGCTTCACTGATTATAATTATTCATTTGAGTATAGCTGCCTATCTTGTAAATGGATCTAGGAGTACCCCTCTTAGCCCTGTACACACTAGGTTCCCTAAACACTCTTGAAATGTATTTATTTTGATCCAGAAGCTTTGTCTGTAGGCAAATTAATCCAAATGTTAGTACAAAACTCCAAATGTATGTGTTGTTTAATGTACAAAACAGAATAACTGTATCCTTTTTATCTATGTTTTTTGTTCAACACCTAATAAAGAATGACATTATTTCTTGTATTTTAAATATCTCTCTTAAGCATGTGCTTTGCATAGATTTTTATTTCTTACTCAAATACAGTATGTGTTTAGAAATACATTTATAAAGGATCCTGGTTGATGTCGCTAGCTGTAGCTTCAATACCATACACACACTTGCAATCAATTGTAAAGGTTGTGAACATGGTTTGCTACAATTTTATGTGCACATACAGTGCCTATAAAAAGTATTCACCTCCCTTGGACTTTTTCACATTTTATTGTGTTACAGCATGGAACCATGATGTATTTAACTGAGAATTTTTGCCACGCATCAACACAAAGTACTCTATAATGTCAAAGTGAAATAAAAATCCAAACATTTTACTAAATTAATTAAAAATAAAAAACAGAGTTAATACTTCGTAGGACCACCTTTGGCAGCAGTTACAGCTTTGAGTCTCTTTGGGGTAAGTCTCTATCAGTGTGGCTTTTGCTGTATGTTTTGGGTCATTGTCCTATTGGAAGATTAATCATTTTCCTCCAGGATTTTTCTGTACTTGGCTCCATCCATTTTTCCATCCCTGATGCAGAGAAGTATCTCCAAAACATGATACTGCCACCATGCTTCACTGTAGGGATGGTGTTCTCAGTGTGATGTGCTGTGTGTTAGGTGTGCGCCAAACATAGCGCATAGCATTGAGGCCCAAAAGTTCAATCTTAGTCTCATAAGACCATAGAATCTTCCTCCAAATTGTTGGTTCTCGCACATGTCTTTGGGAAAACTCCAGCCGAGATGTGATATGAGTTATTTTTTCCCAACAAAGGTTTGCTTCTTGCCACCCTTCCATACAAGCCAGATTTATGACGTGTGCGTGTTATTATTGTCTCATGCACAGTTTCTCCTATCTCTGTCATGGAGGATTTGCCCTAGGCCTTTTGGTGGCCTCCCTTAATACGGCTCTTCTTGCCTGGACACTCAGTTTTAGAGGAGGCCAGTTCAGGGCAGAACTGGAACAGTTGTTCCATATTTTTTCACTTTTTTAATGATGGACTTCACTGTGCTTCGAGGTATATTCAATGCCTTGAAACTTTTTCTTACGTCTTTGCCCTGACTGGTATTTTTCAAGAACGTTGTCTCAGATCTGTTTGGAATTTTCTTTGGTCTTCATGGTGTAGTGTTTCCTTGGAAATGCACTAAGTGGGGAAGCTCCCAGACACATTTATTCTGAAGTCATGTGAAACACCTCAGCTGCACACAGCTGGACTCCAATTATGTGACTTGGAGAAGAGATTTGGTTACTTCAGAGGTAATTTAGGTGTGTCAAAGCAAGGGGGTGAATACTTATGCATTCAATTATTTTCTGTTTTTTATTTTTAATTAATTGTGGGTTTTTTTAATATGACATTATAGAGTACTTTGTGTTGATGAGTGGCAAAAACTGTTAAATACATCATGGTTCCATGCTGTAACACAATACAATTTGAAAAGGGGGATGAATACTTTTTATAGGCACTGTATATAAGATTGTTATATTTCAAGTAGGTAGCTGCATCAGCATGTGTAGGCTGCAAAGGAACAAGTTAAGGTTTATTCCATGCTGAAAAGAGAAGAAAAGAAACAACATTTTGGCTGTAGAATCTTCTTTTGGTGCCACCAGAAGGCTCCAAAGCCGAAACGTTTCTTTTCTTCTCTTTTCAGCATGGAATAAACCTTAACTTGTTCCTATATGATTGTTTCCCCTTTCCATTCAAAATAACTAGTTTACCATGATTGCTAACCAGGAACTTCTAGAAAGGTCGAATATTGATCAATAAATGCAAAAAGAAGCATTCTTTTTGAAAACCACTTTTCTGAAACAACTAATGGTAACCCCTGTTGTCATGGGTAGATGTTTACTTGTTGTTTTTTTTCTTTTTCAGCTGAACATATGGCGTTATGGAGACTTCCGTGCCGATGATGCTGATGAATTTGGCTACAGACGCTAAAAATGCCATTGCAATGAACTCACTGAAGACATACTTACACTAAAACATCAACCTTTTCCTTCTTTGGCATTCATTTCTTACGTCTTTCTTCCTCTTTGTGTTTCTTCCTGTACCTCAGTGACTTCTTGCTCCCTCTGGAAACACTTAACACCGCTCTTCTACCTAAATAGCTGTGGAAGCCACAGGCTGTATTCTTTATTATGTGCTTATTGCAGTTTTAATTAGAGGACAGAGGGAGAAGATGCATGGAAGAACTATAAACCCACCAGCTTGCTTTTGCAGAGAAAATGCTTCCTAAATGAAAATAAAATACATGTGAATTTATAAAAAAAAATCTAACTTTATTGGTAAGCCTGCAAACACAGATTTAATGAGTCTACTTTTTGTTTTTATTTCCTTTTTTAATGTGTATCTGAATGTTTAATGGAATAATGAACCTTAGTGTTGATGCAGGGAGGCTTTTTCTCTTGTGGGAAGAAGCTGCAGACGCCTTGAATAATACATACTTTCTCTCTTCTGTGTTGTTTACAGGTTTACAGTAATTCCTTTCTCTCTACTCTGTAGCGAACAGTATTTGATTTTGTTTTCCCAGGTTGAGCCTTGTCATTGTATTTAAATCTTTCACAGCTTAATAAAATTAGCAAAAGATGAATGAATGCTTGTCTCATTAAAGTGTAAGTTGTTGAATGCTAATTTGGCTGTTGGAGGTCCAAATAACTGAGTCTTCCTTTGGTTATTACTATTTCTACTGTTTATTTTCTAGCAAGGTTGCATTTAGTAAGGAATTGTGCAAAGAATATAGCATTCACTGCATTTGTTTCTATGTGTTAAGGGTATTTTATACTTATACATTTTTATTTGTTGATCGGTAGTTCCTTGCTACATATTCCTGTCAGATTATATTCAGTCCTGTACACTGTGATGGTAATCTACAAAAGAGTCTAAAAAGATAGGTAGAGAAGTAGGAGACTAGAATTATAAAAGTAGTCTTTTTTTAGAACACACTGTATAATACAGAACGAATGTACAGTATACTGGCTCCCGGCCTCATCTCCAACACTTTTTTTAAACTTTTTTTAAAAAAAGTTTGTTTTACTTTTGCATTGATCCGTGTTCTGTACATGATTCTGAATGTAAGATCTAAGTACCAAAGTTTGGCGTCTGAACAGGTAAATTATCCAAATACAGCATGGGAATATGGTAGTAGCTCCTCTTTCTAAATGCACAGGTCATGAAGCTACATGAAGACTGAATTATGAGGAAGCTAGATTCTGCCATGGCTTTCTGCAGTGTCCTGAACGTTTTTAGTTTAATGAGCCTGAGGGCTGCTTAAGCTTTCGGGATTCAGGAAGTGTACTCAATGCAACTTCGAAAGATGTAGTTTTAAACATAAACATGTAGGCTATTCATAAAGCCCTCTAGGATCTCTTAAGCAGAACTCAGAAGTTACTGATCTTATCACCTGCAGCACTTGGGAAACCTGCTTTGAGTGATCTCAGCAAAGATACAGAAAACATTTTCAAAACACTTCAACTCGCCTTTAGGAGGTACATTATTATTGGAGTTTAGAAACTGTAATTTTCAAAGATCTGAAAGCCCCACTGTTTTCAGCTCATGCTCTCAACATCCTTTTTTTAATTACATTATTTTAAACTGTTTATTGAAATGCATTACATGGTGATGGACTAGTGAATCATTCTAATTTCTTATCGCATATGCAGTAAGCAATGGTTTGTGGAGCTTTTTAAGTAATAGATTGATGAGAGCTGCTGATCTGTCTTAAAAGGAAAAACACATAAGTTTGAGTTATTTGCATCTAAATCATCCTTGTGAGCACCACATACAATGAAATTGTAGAATTAATTGCTGCATGTTTTTACTGATTGCTAATGTATTTTTTATATTCTCACTTTAGTACACCAAATTTCTGTTCTAAAACCAGATGGCTTTGATTTTTTTTTCACAGTACCGCAGCAGGCATGAATTTTGAAGTTCTGGAAAAAGGAGTTCCATTTAAGGTTATTATAGATGATTTAGTCATGTTTCAGGGATGTTAGAGGGAAATTATTTTCAATCAACATAAGAAATGGTGGAAGATCTGCTTAGATTCATGAGTATGGTGTTTATAGGCTCCTCAAGTTATTCATTTTTCAGAATATGATGGATATAAGATCAGTATGATACATTAAAAATAGATCAGGCATTAAAATTACTTGTTGGTGTTGGGAAACCACCCCGTAATAAAACACAGACAGCCAACGCAAGTCCTACATTCAGAATACTATACATAAGTTTGTATTCGAAAAATGACACCTTGTCCTCCATTTACCTTCCCTAGGCCTTGTGCTAAAACCCCTCAGTTGTTCTCTATGCATTCCTTTTCTACAGGCAATTTGATAGTTTTTTTTAAGTACCATCTGTGTGTCAGTGAAAAGAAGGCATTTGCTTTGTTTAGCCAATTCCTGTCTTCTCAGGATGGAACCTACTGTCACACACAGACAGATGTGCCACTCTTATCTAGTAACCTGCGCTGGTCATTACTAATGAAACGTTTTATTTTTCTTTGTTTAGAAGATGCCTTTATCCAAAGGGACTTAGAATATATACAACTCTAGGATTATCAGATAGTGTCATGATAACACCTGCAGGTAGTAAATCTGAAATTTGGGTTGCAGGGGTATAAAGAGATTTGTTTCTTTACCGACATTAAGACCCAAAATCTCAAGATAGCTCCTTACCAGATCACTTCCTTCACACCTGGGCTCACAGAAACAAACCTTGAACTGCAAAAATGTAGGCAGATACCTCTGACCTGTTCACCTTCAAGCCTGTCATCCTTTAAAATGTCACAAGCAGCACCACAAATGGCCTGGAAAGCTGTAGAACTTGCTGTTTCACTGGTATCTGAGAGAGCCTTCATCAAGGCTCAGTGTTCATTGACATTGGGGGAGAGACACTTCTCTCACCGCCAGAAGCACTTACGTATACTTCCTTCCTTGCCCCAGACAGGGAAATTTGCTTTGCAGGCAGGTAACACAATACAGGATACATTTAACACAACACGTGAAAAATCCATGCATAAGGTGAGGAAAAACAAGTCAGCAGCTTTAGGAAATCCTCACAATTTATAAAGATTAAATAAAGAAGCTGGGAGAGATGCATGATGAAAAAATAAAGTAAAATAATCGGTTGTCCACTCCAAATTAAGAAGGTTACACAATAAAAATGGTGACACAACACAGGAAGTACCTGGTACACCATATGGTTTTCTGTGTCACTGTATCTGAGAGACCAGCTGATCCCACCCTAACCTTGGCTGTTCTCAGCCATTTGTGCACCAGCGCTTGGGGGGTTCAGCTTGCAAAACGTTGATGATGCAACCCATGCTTCAGCTCTCAATGCCTGAACCATACAGGTCAACTTGCACTCGGGCAAGCACCTTAGCCTGAAGGTGCAATCCACATTTGTTTTCTTTTTTCACTACAAAACAGTATTTAGCCATTTATCCTTTGTGATTGTGGCTTTCCAAGCGCCAAACTCCTTTTAAAATGTGTCTTGACTGCTTTTTGTTTTTTATTAAAATCTTACTGATTATAATGCTGAAAGGCACCCAACCTGATGAATTTGGTTTACACCAAAAGATCATCCCCATAGTGTACGTAAGTCTTTACACCCAGCATCCACCATCTACTGTTACACGTCCTGATGATTTCATGAATCATTGCCAAAGTCATTTCCTTTAGGTGTTTTTTGGATGCAGTAATTTTGGTGCCTGTTTTCCAGTAGATTAACCTCACCCTTATTTTGAGATACAGTACAAAAAAATACTGTACAGTATTCTACTTTGTATTTGGTATGTACATATGTAGTATGTAGATTTTTACTATTGTATTTTGGAGCTTCTGTTGCATTAAACTTTGATATAAACTTTGTTTTAATTAGATAAATTGGTTGTCAAAATTCTGAAGCTACCTGGAAGTCTTGATATTCGACTGATATTCGACCATAATATAAACCTATACTCTAGTACTGATTTAAGCCATATGTCTATTTGAAAAGAGCCTACAAAGGTGAATATGTATTCCTAGCATCTGACCTCATTTAGTCCCATGAAACTCACCTCATGAGGTACGTTTTGAACTCCATCTTTGAGCTGAATGCTGAAGTTTAACTAATTGAGACGAGAAGTGAAAGTTTAGGGTATTCCAAGAGCTGGGTTATCTGCTGTCAGCTTGCTTCAACGGAGAGCCTCAATGAGAGGAGAGGAGAGGGAGAGTACATGGTAATTGAGTTGCCATGCCTGGAAGGAAAGTAATAAAATATGGTCTACTTTATCCCTAATTAACCTTCACAAGGAAGTGTATCCTGTGATGGAAATTCTTAGAACAGCCAATGTTTGACATCATTGAGTGCAAACCATAATTAGCTGATAAAGAAAAGCTGATGATAATATAAAAAGGAGGATCCAAAGAAAAAAGAAAACTAAAAGAGATGGAAGACTGAATCTGAACTAGGATAGATGCAGCTCTAAAACCTTTGTTCAGATGAAGACGCCATCAAATCCATTTAGAATAGTCCTGTAATTTGTTTGTATTATAAATGTTTAATTTAATTTTTTCTAAAAATGTTAGTCAAATCATACTACAGTACTTAATCCACTACAAAATATGTTTTGTAGTAAGATCAAAAGTGTATGCATGCTGCATCTTTCAGACCAACCATTTCCACCAGCATGAAAAGAGAAAAAAAAATAAGTCTTCATTTTATCTGGTTTGGTGCTAGCATGAAGTGCAAAAATCCATTTTTTATGAGGACTAACAAAATCCCTTGTGATTAACTTGGAAAGAAAAATGAAACCCTCTTAATAATTCAGGACTTTAAAAAGTGTTTCAAACTAGATTTTATTTTGTAATAATGTTATTTCACTTCAGCTGACTGAAGTTCTGGTAGAAGTGTTCCAAATATAATGTACTGTAGCTCAATGTTAAGAAAAAAGATATTGCTTTAAACATACAATCATAAACATTTTTAAGGTATAAACTAAAATTGCACAGCTTTTTACTACTGATCCAGTGAGATTCCAGTTCAAGGTTGATTGAAATATGAAAAATCTCCAAAGGAGGGGTGTTAATAAATGCAGACACAAGATGTGCTCAACAACAAATTCAGTAGAGACTTTTACTAAAAAATTATGTATCCTCCCTATCTTAGACTGATTAGTTATTTTGCTGTTGCTGAAGTTTGTGAAATGAAGCCCTGTAGAAACCATGCTGAATAACTTCTGGGATCAATTCATTACTAGAATGGAGATTAGTGTCAGTGGTTTGTGCCTGCCTCCTCCTTGACTTCATCTTTATGATCTAAGATGTTTCAATGATCCCAAGTCACTGGCATCACAACCATAGAAAGATGTTTTATTCTCAGAATGTCTCCCATACTAATGATGTACATGTACTATACATGCTGGTTTTGCAATAGTCACTACAAAACAAATAATCATTAACACGGTTTAAAATTATTTTGATTAGGTAATTTAAAAATCAATATTAAATTGAATAATTTAATTGTATAAGTCATTAAAATGATAATGTTTACAGTGAGAACTAATTGATTTAACCACAAAATCACTCATTTTGTTGAAATGTTGTCTCA